GGCAAAAGCGCTATGTTCCTGAACAGACTATCCTTCGCCGAAATCGCTAGAGGGAGTAGTACTATTCGCTACCTATTCTAGGGATTTCAATTGCAAAAACTAAACAGTGGGTGGTAATGGACAATACAACTGAACATTAGAAAACCACAAAAAGATTCCATACTATTCGCCGCAGATGATAACTCAACTAGTGGGTTCAAATGAACAATAAATACCATTGAGAATAAAAAGATTCTATACATTCGGTTCCAGACCATTCGCCTCAACTTTTAGCCAAAACGCATAGAAAACAGCAACAAGTTCTGTACCCTCCGCTGCAACAGTTGCATGTGGTGGTCATAGCCATTTTTGAAGAAAAACATTCTAAAATATTCAGTTCTGGGCGGAGTTCCCGAGAGGAAGTAAAAGGGAGTCGTATTTAATTGAGTTTGATGATTATTATCGTTCCATCTCTATGGAAATGTATCGATAAAGAATTGCTTATTTTCAACCTGAGAAAGATGTGATGATTGACATCGCTATCTGTTGATCTGTATGTGTCTTTCATTCCCAATAAAAAAAAATATATATTTCTAGAAACTCCTAATTATAGAATGCGAATTTTATCCCAAACTAGTCACTCATCTGTGCAATGAGCACATTTTTATACCTATTGTAAATAAAATACTGTTCAGTGATAAATTAGGTAAAACAAATAAATCATGAGCTATCCATGTTAATAAAATTCAAATTAGCTTCCTTAGAATAAATTTCATATCAACTCAGATTCACCGTGAAAGTTAATAAAAATCTATAGAAAAAATTCAAAGAATAGAGCGTTACCTCTAGCTAGATAAAACGCGATTTTAATTTAATAGAGTAATTTTCAAATTTCCCGTTTTAATTAAAAGTTTGAGAGGGAAAATTTAATTACCCAACGTTGGATAATTAGGTTTTATAGAAGAACATGTTTTTTGTTGGATATAGATAATTTGAAATAATATAATCGAAGTTGGGAAATCACACAATAACAGAAAACACCGATGCAAAAATTGTGAAAATGTAATTATTTTTCATTGAATATGCATATGCCTTTGTTTGAGCTTCTCATATTTAAAGTTATACGGTATTAATTGGAACAGCCATAAGAACTAAAATTCTTGTTTTGTGGAGAGCCGACAAATCGAACCAACTCATTTGAAGTGCTATTTAATTGAACTCACAATTCGCCGATAAGTTTCACTGAAGTCTGTAACAACCAAACACGACTTTACATTAATTTATTATCTTTGCTGTACATCCCAAGCCTACCTTATAGAGCAAATATAGGTAGTTGAAAATTCATACTTTCTCGAAAATATGGCAATATATCATAATATCTACTAGGACGTTTTAAACTTAATTAAATGATTAGCTGGTTATACGCTTTCTAAAAAGGAAAAGGGATATGCGGAGAAGTTGGTGAAGGGGTGCTACACCGGAAGACGACGCACATAGCCACCCCGAGTTAAAACCATGAACCGTAAAAAATCCGTTGAGACTGGAAGGAAATTAATTAATATTCACGTAGAAGTAGGTTTAACGTTTAATTTATTAAAAAATAGAACTTCCTTCGACCTCCATTTATGAAAATGTCAGCTATTAATTTGCTTGCAATTATCATACTCCACATTTAATTAATCCCTCGACTAATTATCGGAATTTTGTAAAAACTAAAACCGACCGACCGGCGATTTGTTGATTTGCAAAACGCAACGGCACTCCCGATTCACTGTGTGCTACTCATTAATTTCTATTTCGGATTTGGATATCACGAGGCCTGATTAAATCTACAAAACTGACTCGATTTACTGATAGGGATTTAAACCGCAAATGAAATTCCGCATTATTGCGTTTACTTTTTGAAGTCTGTAATCGCAATACATAATTATCGTTTCGATGTTGATCAATATACAATGATTAAAACTTTGAACTATGCGTATACTGTGCAATATGATATTAGTTAAATCGACAAAAACAATTCAATTTGAAACTGAAATTCATTATGAGGTTTAAAATTTACAATCAAAAAACATAAGGTAACTACATCGTTTCAATTAATTAAGTGTGGATTTACTCTTTACTACATTTTTGTTTTGATGGATATGGAAAAATATGGCTCTTAAGTCAGGATGCAGCAAGGATGTGGTACTTTTGATATCTTCTGTATATAGTTTTTGTTATCAGTATTAATTATTATCAAATTGTATTTGTAAATTATTACAATTTAATAAACAAGATGGATAAACTCTTAAGATCTGAACGATTCGACGCTGATCAAAACTCTCTAAAAGCTGCACAAGAGTGGACTCACTGGAAAGCAACTTTCAACAATTTCATATCATCCGTTGATAAGCTGGAAAATGATGGAAAACTGAAACTCTTGGTGAACTATGTAAGCCACGACAATTATGAGCACATATCCTGCTGTTCTTCTAACTCAGACGCTATTAGGGTTTTGGATTTAATTTTCAATAAACCTAAAAATGAAATATTTGCCAGACAATGCCTTACCTCTAGGAAGCAGCAACCTGGAGAGACTGTTGATCAGTACTTACAAGCACTAAAACATCTAAGTAAAGACTGTAACTTCAAAGCTGTCAGCGCTGAAGAAAGGCAAAACGACTATATTAGAGATTCTTTCATTAGTGGCTTAAGCTGTGTACAAAAGTGTACAAATGTTATTTCTGTGGAAGCACTAAAAGACATTTTCGCACGTTATGCCCTACTATAGATTCAACGTGTACTGAATGCGGTAAACGTGGACATTTCTCCAAGATATGTCTAAGCAAAAGAAAAGTCAAAGCTTCTGCCTCAATTATATCTGCTTCTGGGCTTCTTTGTCCGGCACCTGGAAGTTTAACCAAATGCCTTAACAACATTAAATTAAACAATGTCGTTGCTGATGCTTTAGTAGATACAGGGAGTTCTGAAACATACATTAATAAAACTTTTGCCTCATTTATCGATGTATCTATACATTCAATCACTGGATATATACTAATGGCCACAACAGCCTTACAGTCTCAGATATCAGGTCACTGCTTCGTAGACTTAGAAATTATGGGGCATACATAGAGAAAATTACGTTTATCAGTTCTTTCTGATTTAAGTGCTGATGTCATTAGAGGTCATGATACTCTTAGACAGTATTCAACCGTTGAAGTATCTTTCGGAGGTTCTAAGTCTCCCTTCTATATTGGCAACTCATCATCGATTTGTAGTTTGGCGTTCCTAAAAATTGATCCGCCTACATTATTTTCAAATCAATCAGCAGACTGCAGGCCAATTGCAATAAAATCTAGACAATTTTCACCAGAAGACAGACACCTCATTTCATTCGAAATAAGAAATCTGTTTTTAAATAGAATCATAGAAGAAAGCAACTCTCCTTGGCGGGCACAGGTGTTGGTAACGAAAAATGAAACGCACAGAAGAAGGATGGTGATCGATTACTCTCAATTCATTAACAGGTTTAAATATTTAGATCCTCTACCCAATATCGAAGATATTGTTCGTGCTGTGACGAAATTCAAGATTTTCAGTAGGGGAGAGTGGGGATGATTCGGCAGTTTTCCAAACTTAACCCACTAGTTTTTAATAGTTATTTATGTATCAAGGATACTAAGTAGATGATTATGCCCTGAGGGCGACAGTCTTACAAAGCCAAGGGCCTCTGGCCCGAGTGTACGTAAGTCGCCCGAGGGTATGTATATCTATTAGTACCCGTGGTGCATACAAACTTTTATGTCATACCAGTTGGTTGTGAATAATAAATATCTGGGAAAAAAGTGTCACTTCGCAAATTGTCATCAGTGTGCAAACATCATCATTTTTTGACAAAAATAATATGTTTATAAGCGTAAATTTATATTTTGTTAATAAAGAATAAGTTAATTGAAAACTGTTTTTTGCGTCTTTATGCCCGCGCGGGCCATAATGTGTACTTTATGCCCGCACGGGCATAAAGTAATGGATTATGTAGATGGTATCTAAAGTATAAAAACACAATAATGTATTGGTATGACATAAAATACTTTTTTTACTACTAACCTGAGAAATTGTCATTATTCAATCTATTTTTCTAGGAAAAAATTGAATTTCTCTCCCTAGGTGAATAATGAAAATAATGAAAAAATACCTAGGTTAATAATGAAAATGACGTCATGACGCAAGGATATTGTCATGTTTCTATTGGTTCAATTTCATTTCCATACGTCAATTTGAAAAAAAATACAGGTTTCTGTAGGTACATAGGAAGTTATCATAAGCTGTTGATAGAGGGCAGCACTTTCAAGAGGGCGTTCAAAAAAAAATAATTGGAGCACAGATTTTAAACAAATTTTTCATTTTCTACTAGCAGTAGTAAACAAAATTCTATATATTCCTCGGTAGAGAAAGTCATTGTATACCTCACTCATTATAAACCTCGGCGCGAGCGCCTCGGTTTATAAAAGCGCTCGGTATATAAGGACCAACTTCTCTACCTAGGTATATAATATACTATTATTGTTATCAAGGTTTTATTTGCTATAATATTATTTGTAGCTTAGCGATAAAAATTAACAGTTCAAAAAGTCGCTAGCACTTTATATTTATTTTCAAGATTTTTTTTAGAAAATGTTTGCATTATGACGAAATTACCCCAATGATGGGGTAGTTTCGACATAGCAATGGGGTACTTTCGTCAAATGATAATGACCTTATTAAACCAAATTAAAAATTCTTTATTTCAAATGTCGTGATTATTTTACAGTAAGAGTAGGTACTAAAATTATAATTAAATGAGGTGGATCTTGCTGTTCCACTTCGAGATGGTGTCTCCAGATTTGCAACGACATCATCAAAATCAACTTCTGAAACATCTTCCACTACAGGATACACAAAACTGTGACTGCATCCTCTTCTCCTAAGGAATTTAATTGAGAGAGATAGGGAATGCATTTCTTGTATACATCCTATGTAATAAATGACCGTATTTTTTATTTTTTTCCTGGGAATTTAACCAATACAAAGTTTCCAACTTCGAATTTGTCGCTGCTAGTTATTGGTTCAAAATCTTCTAGGTCATCACTACTGTTCGAATTTACATCATCCAGAGAAACATCAGATTCGCTTGAACTGCCTACAGATCTTTTGGCGATCTGCCTTTTCTTGAAAACTACTCGTTTTGCTCCTTTGTCAACAACCGATGTTTGCCTTCTTTTTTTGTTAATTTCGATTTCTTCTCTTTTTTGCAATTCCGGGGTGTCCGTGTATATTGAGCATTTAGATTTTCGACGTACTACTCTCTTTTTGGTAATGTCCGCTTTAGGGTAAGGAAATAACATTTCTAGAGAAGATTTTCGGCGATTACTACCGCTAGTATTGTGACCCGAGGTGGATGGCGCATTGGGGTCAAAGTATAACTGACTATTTTCATATCCGAAAGTCTGAATCTCCATGTTTTTACCCTCAGGAGTCGGAGAAGTATCGTTATTGTTCTCAGGGGTCGTTGGAGTCGCTATTTCAACCCCAGGAGGCGTTAGAGCCACGTTACCACCCTCAGGTGTCGCTGGAGTTACGTTACTACACCCAGGAGCAGTTGGAGGCGTGCTGTTATCCTAGTTTACATGACTGACTGGTCTATCAGTAACTGTACTTGCAATTAAGTCGTCCTTAGTAAAAACAAGTTGATCAAGAGGCCATAGTCCTGTTTTCTGAAAGCTTGTTTGATATTTCTCATGGTAAAATTATTTTAATATGCTTTGTTTGATAAGCTGCTTATATTTCTTATTGAAATCGCTTGACCCGGGTGCGCCAACATCCAGTCGTTGAAGGCGGTTGCTATGTATGTTTTGAAGGGACCAAATATACCCACGTCTAGCGGCTGCATTCTATGGGTTGTGTGCGGCGGGAAGGATAGTAGGACAATTCCATTTGCCTTACAGTAACGAATAGCTTCAACAGATAAATGTGATTCATGGTTGTCTATCAGCAAAAGAATTCTGTGATCAGGAGAACAATTTGTGTGCGACACGATATGCTTTAAAGCTTCAGGAAATAGTTCTGCAGTCATCCACCCTGACTTATTTCCGAGCGCAACAGAACCTGTTGGTGAACCCTCTGATAAATAGTCTGCTGGATTGCGGAGCCTCGGATAAATAAATATAGGTGGGAGAGACGTTCCGATAGCACTTACAATACCAAGGAACGTTACTAGTGTTCCTCTTTCTGCTGAAGCATTTTGACCGACTTGCTTTTTTCCCTTGCTTGAAACGACTTTAACGGGCTTTACAACTGTGGTGATGCCTGTTTCATCCCAATTCCATATTTTTTCAGCGGTAAATTTGTATTTTTTCAATATGGAGGTATATTTCGCGAAAAAGTCATCCACTACGGGTTTATTGAATGCCACCGAACGATTAAGACTCGTGCTTTCTGGCTTGCGAAGTGAGAGATCATTGTTTCTGGCCATAAATCCCTGTAGCCAATCTTTTCCTAAAAGAAAAAAAAATCCTTGGTGACTTTTATTTATTTACCAGAACAGTAAAATAATATCACACTATAATTTTGGTTTCAAACCAATAAAGCAAACTGTTAATATAGCGACAAGTTTTCAATGCAAAATATACCTACCAGTCATTTGCTTAGTTTCCCAGTTGAGTGGAATTCTACTGCAATGACTCGATTTTGCAAAATGAAATGCAATTTTTCGGATCTGCGCGTATGAAAGACCATAATGGAGATTGGAACATTTTTTTATAGTCTCGTAATTCGGTCTCCTGTGCTACTGTAAAAACTTGTTTGACAGTGTATTTGTTGCCAATTTTTTCCTCTTCTGATAACTCGTTTCCAGAATCCTCATTGAGTAACTCCTCCAATGGCTTTCTTTTCAACAGGGTCTTTATTCTCGACTGCAAAGTAGTTCTCTTGACGCCATACTGCCTAGCTGCCTCACTAACTTTCATGCGATTTTTAAGGCATTCATCTAAAGCGCTTTTCATAACCCTCTCATCGATATTGGCTCTATCTGTCTTCCTGATGTACTTTCTAGGCATCTAAAGGTGTTAAAAGTGCACGTTAGACAAAAAATTTTTAGTAATAAACTTATCATGATAAAGTGGGGTAGATTCGTCACTACCGAATCTACCCCATACGTCATTGACGAATCTACCCCACACGCACTTGCCTTGGTTTTCAACCTCTCAAACTCACATGGATTCAATTTTAGGTGAGAATTCAATGAAAAACAAATCTATAGAGATAAATAGCCAATATGACCTAGATAAGTCAAAGAAATATTGTGTTTTTTGAGGAAAGTTCCAAAAAATAAAACTAGAAAATATTTACCTTGATACTGTCTCAAAATATTTGATAAAATAATTTTTTCTGGGGACGCGACACAGAGCACACCAAATCAAAACATTAACTGACAGGTCACAAACAACATTATACATGCAAATTTTGCCGGGAAATTTAAAAAGCGCGCGAGATTTTGGCGGTTGACGAATCTACCCCACTCCCGAAAGTACCCCACTTTCCCCTACTATAGATTCACAAAGTGCGTATCACCAAGTTCCCATACGTGACGACGTTATTTTATTATATCAGTTCCGAAGAATTCCTTTTGGTGTGTCAAACGGAATTGCGTGTTTCCAGCGGGTAATAGACTACATAATAAAATCAGAGAATCTTGAAGGTGTCTATGCATATTTAGTTGATATTACGATATGCGGTAGAAATCAAGCAGACCATGATAAAAATTTAAAAGAATTTTTACTCGTAAGAAAATACAATTTTACCATAACCGAAAAGAAAAGTTCTTACTCCTTAAAATCAATCAAACTTCTTGGATATCTGCATAGGCGGTTCTAGGTGGGGGCTTGGGGGGGCTAAGTCCCCCCAAATCTGGAATTAGCCCCCCCAAATTTAAATTAGTGATGAGTGGCAAAAGTTCGCAGTCCCTGAATAAAAAATATTCAAGCGTTAGGATTCATTAACTACATAATTTCAATAATTTCACTGATTTAATAGGTAGCTTTATCTAATTATTTCATAAAATTTTATTCAATTATTTCATAAATATCCGTCTGGAAACAGAGGCAACCCTAGCCCCCACCAGGGTTGCCTCTGTTACCTGTAGGTGTGTGTAATAAGTAGGAGCAGCCAAAGTTAACGCGCTGCTCTGCTTTGATCTGCCATTATGGCCGTTTGCACCGAAAATTTCAAGGAAGGTTTAACGATAATCAAGGCTTAAAGTGACATTTATGCATGTAAAAATGTCACTTTAAGCGTTGATTATCTTTAAATTTCCCTTTAAATCGTCGGTGCAAACGGCAATAAGCGGTATTGTTTAGATACGATGTTAATCTTTAGCAACGTTGGAAACCTTTGGAGTGGAGACGTTGTAAAACTTGTGTTTTTGTTCGGGTTGATTCACAGTTGGATATTATTTTTTGCTCTGTTGTTTGGTTTGTTTGTTTGTTTCGGTTGTAGTTTCGAATCCCACTGATGTCAAACTGTCAAACATTTTTAACTTCAACTCTTTTTCTGTTAAAAGTAGGAAGTAGGTTTTTGTTTTTTTTTATCACCTTTATTTGTACCTACCTCAGAATACTTTTATTTTATGTGAACAAAACAATCATGTTACCAGGGTCGTAGCGATATGACTATCCCTAGGGGGGGAGACTGAGATTCGGCACCCCCTAAGCGCCGCGAAGGCAATCCAAAGGTGAAGAAAAATTTATTGGTGACCACACCCAAATTTTGCCAATTTTAAGTAAATATGGGTATAATTTCATTCAACCAAAAATTAGATCAAAATGTATCACTAAGGGCGGGTATTATAAAACTTCTTTGAGAGTTAACTTAAAGTTAACTTCTGGAATTACATGTAATTCAAAAAGTTAACTTCAAGTTAACTGTCAAAGCAGTTTTATAATACCCGCCCTAAGTGCGGGTATTATAAAACTATTCTGACTTATAACTCAAAGTTAACTTTTGGAATTACAATGAGAAGTAACGTCATTTCTGTCATTCCTGAAGTTATCTTTCAGTTATTCTGTCAAATTAGTTTTATAATAGGCAATTTTTCGTGAGGATAACCAAGCACAATCTTTTGCTAGATTATGTGATGTGTCGTTTGTGTCATACTGCCCTAACTACCCCACCATCAAATTCTGGGATACTCGAGGATCAAGAACACTTAATTTCTTCTGTGAGAACAAACCGAAAATCACTTTTCTACATTTGAAATTGACGAAAAAATGAACTCACTAGCACAGCCTGAATCGCAAGCATTCCATCGGGGTCTGCGGGTGACATCATTATAAGCTGCTGGTGGTGACGTCACTCGCAGGCTCAGAATTTGATGGAGAGGGAGTTAAGGGAGTATGACACAATTGACATATCACCATTATCCAGCATACTCGAGTATGCTTGATTATCCTCGCGAAATATTGCCTAATATTCGCCCTAAAAACCTAACTTATGTATTGAATGAGACTTTATCTATTGCCAATTCGATTTCCTGATTCTCTTAGATAGTTTCAGGTGGAAATAATGAAGTGTATATTGTAGATTTTCAAAATAAAATCACCAAACTTTTTGAATGTTTATTTTGATTCAATTTCTTTGCACTTTGCCTATTTTGGCGCCCCTTTGCCAGCTGCGCCCTGGGGGGTAGGCTCCCCCGTCTCCCAGTGGCGTAACTACAGGGGGGCCTAGGCCCCCCCCCCCCCAGACGTCGCTAGGCCCCCCCCCAGAAAAATTTTGATAATTTGGTATTTTATAAAAGCTACGTTACCTATTATAATTTTATGTTATTACTAACTAAATTTGATCGGTAATGCGCGGCAATCCCGATCGAACCTATCCGATCCACCAACGAACAGGCTGTCTGCCATTGTGCCACCCAAAAGTCAGTGCAAATTGCAATGTGCAGAAGTGATACAGTATACCAAAGCCATTAAATTAGCATTACCAATATAACAGATTAGTTTGGGAGTTTGACTAAATATTTTTCCTGTGAATCCGTGAATCGGTGTTGCTGATATACTAGGTATACAGTGCCTGATTAGCAGGGTTAGCTAGGTAAGTGATTTAAGCCCGGTTTAGTCAGCTAATCACCTATAATTGCACTGTTCTACTTTTTTTTAAGATTCCAATAACTCGCAATAACAGGCCCTAGGCCACTGGCCCCAACTACATGGAGGCATTGGGGCAGGTGCTCCCATGAGCAACCTCTCATTGGTGCTCGGAGCTCTCGTAGGGAATGCGAAAGTTCAAACGTATTTAATGGTCATTCCGTTCCGTGTGGTAGTATCAGTATGATGTATGTTATATACAATGATGTTATTTAAATTTACACAACTTTGTATAAGAATTATACAAGTGGTCTTGAGTGTACAAACATAGTGCAAACAGGTTTCCGCTTACCGGTAACCAGCGCTGACTCGCGCTTATAGGCGCAAAAAATGAATGCATGTTTTTAAATCGGCTAGAACACAGTAAAAAGCAGGGAGAGGCAGCGGGAACCAGCGTTCTCGTTTTAACCGGAATGAAAATTTAGTTTATTTCTGCTTTTGCAAGCGTCGCGGCAGTGTCTTGTCAGTTCTTGTAATGGATAAGGAATTACTAATGATGTAATAAACCCCTATTTGAGATAAGCAGCATAGCAATCGAAATGAAGTCGACGAATATTGGAGAGAAGTAATATTCTCCATACAGGTTTCTTTCACGATTAAAACTTCACTCTGTGCTATCTTGGCGTGAGAAAACTGCGCCGTAAGCGAAAAACCTACTTGCAATGTGTTTGTAAACAGATTAGGGAGGTATTAGTATTCTGTCCTCTCGTTATTTGTGGTCAATTCTATGCTCTATTACTTTATATTGCTAATGTTGCTATTCTCCATCTCTATTCTTTGATAATAACCGGGACATAAAGCATTTTATGTCATACCAATACATTATTGTGTTTTTATACCTTAGATACCATCTACATAATTCATTACTTTATGCCCGTGCGGGCATAAAGTACACATTATGGTCCGCGCGGGCATAAAGACGCAAAAAACAGTTTTCAATTAACTTATTCTTTATTAACAAAATATAAATTTACGCTTATAAACATATTATTTTTGTCAAAAAATGATGATGTTGGCACACTGATGACAATTTGCGAAGTGACACTTTTTTCCCAGGTATTTATTATTCACAACCAACTGGCATGCCATAAAAGTTTGTATGCACCACGGGTACTAATAGATATATATACCCTCGGGCGACTTACGAACCCTCGGGCCAGAGGCCCTCGGCTTTGTAAGACTGTCGCCCTCAGGGCATAATCATCTACTTAGTACATAAATAACTATTAGGACATAAAAGTACCAGGCATAATTATTTTAATAATGATGTGATATTTTCATGGCCTAAAATGCGTGCAGAAAAAAGCACTTTTCGCACGCTCGTAGAAAAAAATAGAAAAATATATACATTATAAAATAGACGTTTTTAGGCGTGGCATCCGGAAGAAAATTTTCGCCTCCGCCGGCGCCTACGGCAACCTTCCCCCTCCCCCTATAAACAAATTTATAAAAATATTATCCCGTACCTATGAGGACTTTCAAAAATCGACGCCTCTGCCAGGCCCACTTTAGGTCAGATGGCTAGTTACGCTAGTGCCGTCTCCCCCCCTGTTGGCTACGCCCCTGCATGTTACTTGTAAACAAAATTTCTTTTGTAATAATGAAACCGAGAATGAAACTTTTGTATTTTCCATAAATAAATAAAAACAATTTTGACTAAATATTTATTAAAATATAAGGTTTTTGGGCGTGGCAGCCAAAAAAAATTTTCGCCTTCGGCGGAGCTTCTGACAACGCCTGCAGGGGAGCGACCGCGGAGCAGGGGCTTCAGCGCCCCCAGCACAGATGGGCTAGAACCGCCTATGGATATCTGATCGAGAATATTGCCTTGAAACCTGATCCAGCTAGACTTGAACCTCTACGAAAACTACCTCAGTTTCTGAAAAGAGCTCTTGGGATATTCCCACAGACCA